CCCAGTTGGAGCTTTACTCATGGTTATGTTATGTCTTGGGGTTGTGTGACTGACCGTCCGGCCCCACAGCCATCCATCCATTCATTCATTCATAAAGACACCGAACGACCGGTGTAATAACAAAAATGTTTTAGCCGGCTATGTTCTCGACCTGACCCAATAATTTTGTTGGCCATAAACACAATTTCTTGGCAATGCTTGAACATCTGCCTATTATTTTATGCTTTGTTGCACTCCTCGACAAAAGTTCTTCCATTTTTTGGCCTTGGTGGTGGTGGTGGTGCATTAAAAAAAAACTAAACTGAAGAAGAATAAGTGACTGACTTCACGGCAAATATTTTGTTTACATTTTTTGTCGTTCCTTCTTGTGTTCGCCCTAATGTGATGTGTTAAACATCTGCACCGTTGGTTTTCTAAAAACCCCTCAGTTTTTCTAATTTACAAAAATTCCAATTCCTCTTGCCTCAACGAAATGGGACAGCCGCCGCACATGGTGTGCTATACGCCAACAACACACACCAGCAATTACAACCCTCGAGTTTAATGAACCCTCCTCTGAGTTAGTCGTCCTCTACAAATTGTCAGCCAACTCAGCGCTCAGTCGCATTTCTACCCTCAACATGATCGTACAGTTTTTCATTTTGTTTGCCGATTGTGGCAGCAATCGTCGTTGCCTCACTCATTGCTGCCGTCCTTTGGAAATTTGCTTGATGTACATATCGTCTTTTTATTTAACTTTGAAATATTTTTCAATATTACAAAAAAATGTAAAAGAAATATTTTACTAATTTATTTTTTCTTTTTTTTTCTATTTTTAGTTTCCAAATCCAAAGAACTGCCCGCAATCCTTTGTCACGCCGCTTGAATTTGGATGCTTCCATGCCAGACATGACCATGGATGAATTGTCTTTCTACGGTGACGATCACTCCTCACAGGATCGTCACTTCACAGCCAGTCCACAATTGATGGGTCTTCTGTCCCCTGAAGGTTCACCCGAACGCTTCCAAATTGTCGACAAATCCAACAAATTCTTGCACAGCCGCAAGGCCTTGACTCTCAAAACAGTGGCCGTGAAAAATGCCAACAACACAGTCACCAGCTCCAACACACCCTCAAAGGGTAGCTTCCGTGTATTCCAAAGCTTGTCCTCCACCGGCTCCATGGAATCGTCCATGGATGATGAATACATGGAATTTTTTGATATGGAAAATCTTGAACCCCAACAACAACAGAATTTCCCCAGCGATTTGAGCTCTCTGATCAGTGGTCAAATCATCAAGAACTCCCCCGTCAAAACTCCAGAAATGCGCCGCCCCTCTGTGAGACGTTGTTTGAGCATGACTGAAAACAACCAATACACATCCAAGACCCCCGAAAGTAGTCTAAACGCTGCTGCCAACAACAACTCTGCCTCTCGTTTGAACGGCAGCTTCAAGCGTCCCGAACCACCATCCACCACCTGCTCTCCCATCCAAAGCAAACGTTACCGTGGCGATGAAAAAGAAAACTTGGATGGTTCATTCACTGGTCTGCAAAACAAAAACACCTCTCCCAGCACCACAGCCGCTTCCCGCCCCAGCCTGCGCAAATGCATGTCCATGAACGATGCCGAAATTATGTCTGCCCTCAACCGTTCGGAAAACAATGACGAACCCGATTTAATCGGTGATTTCAGCAAACCCTATGTCTTGCCTCTGATTCCAGGACGTCATCGTGATCTCAAATCGATTAGCAGTGAAACCGTAGCCCGTCTCTTGCGTGGTGAATTCGATGATAAAGTAGCCAACTACAGAATCATCGATTGCCGTTATCCCTATGAATACGAGGGTGGTCACATCCGTGGCGCCAAGAACCTCTACACCCAAGAACAAATCATCGAAGAGTTCTTGTCCCAACAAATGACTGAAATGCAACAGGCCCGCAATGAAGCCTCCGGCAACAAGCGCAATATCATCATCTTCCACTGTGAGTTCTCCTCCGAACGTGGACCCAAATTGTCGCGTTTCTTGCGCAACTACGATCGTGCACGCAATACCAACGCCTACCCCGCCTTGGATTATCCCGAGGTCTATCTGTTGCACAACGGCTACAAAGAGTTCTTTGAAAACCACATTGAGCTCTGCGAACCCCATGCCTACCGCCCCATGTTGGAACCAGCCTACAATGAAGAATATCGCATTTTCCGTGCCAAGTCAAAGTCATGGAATGGTGATTTGGGTGGCGGCACTACCCGCATGAAGAAGTCTCGTTCCCGTTTGATGCTGTAAACGGTGTAGCCAACACCAACAGCCTGACAACTTGAACAACACCCGCCCAAACAAACGCTAATCTATGTAAAAAAATATTTGTCATTGTTATTGTCAGTTTTAGTTATTATTTGATTATTAGTTCGTTTTGTTGATTTTTATTTCTTGACCCCGTCGCTCCCCTTTTGAGACAATTTCCTCAGTTTTATTTTATATTGAATTTTTATTTGCAATTGATGATTGTATTTGTAAAAAGAACCCCCACCCCCAACAATTGTAGGAAGCTCAACCTTTTTGTAAACAAATGATGTCCCAACCCCTTTAGTATTTTATAAGAATTATTATTTATTTTTTATAATTTTAGTTAATTTATAGAATTTGCATTTATTTTTTAGTCGTCATTTTCTCAAATACCACATTTTTAGTTGAATTTGTGTATAGTTTAAAATTTTCCCAATTCCAATTCATTTAAATTGTGTGCATTAGAATAACCTCATCGACCCCCCTATTCATCTCATCTACTCGCCCCCCAAAAACATTAATCCCAAAAAACACAAAGAAGCTTAAAATTTTAATTTTAACAAATCTTTCGTAAAGTTGAAAACTTTTTACGCACAATTACGCTTATTTTTTATGTTAATTCTATTTTTATTTAATTTTAATGATTTTTTATTTAAAGCAAAGCTTTTTTGTATCAAAAAATGCAATATAAGAAATTAAACAAAAATCGTCGAAAAGAAATTACAAAAACCAAACAAAAAAAATAAAATAAAAAATGTTATGAAATATAAACAAATTGTCTTTTATCTTCTTTTTTAAACTGGAAAACAAAAAGAAAAATGGGAAAATCGTTGAAAAAATTTAAATTTTTGAAAACAATTTAAAAAATTTGAATTATATTATTAAATGTAAATGTGAAATTCCAATATTTCCATTAACATTTAATCAGCTTTCAAAAATGAAAATAGATGAATTTTATATTGATGACTAAAATTTCCCATTTTAAATTTTTTCAGTTTATATTCTCATATATTTTCTTAAACATTTTATAACAAATATGTAATTATATGACATATATAATAAGCGTGATTGTATCGTAGTAACATTTTGTCTGCCATATCGACTTAAATTTGAAAATAATTCACAAAGTTTGAGGGGTTTCGTAATCTATACATTATAACATTGATTTATTTGTATTTATTTACTATAAACTGTGATTTATTTTTAATATAATATTTATTTAGGAATTCTAGGACCATCTTCAAATTGATTGATGGATTTAATGTCCATTAAATAATTATATATATTTTTTGATAGGATTTCAGTTAATTTTTATTTTAGATTTTCTTTTGTTTTATTGTTTGTTTTGTGTGTTTTGAAATAATACTCATATTCTACATAAAATGTGGGAATAAAAACTAATTATTAAATATTTAAATATCTGCTGTTTTTTTTTTTTTTGGATTTTTAAAAACAAATTTTGTAGAAAATTCAAATTAGCCTTAAGTTTTAGAAATCGCATCGATTTCTACTTTAGCAAAATTATATAAATCTGACTAAAATATATCAACTGAGAATCCCTGGATTATTCAAAATCTGTACAGATTCGGATCCACTAACACGTAGACGGTTCTCCCAGACACAGACCAATATTTGTACCAATCGTGATAAGGTAGTTATTCCACTCGAAGATTGAATGTGCCTCAAGACTTGCCCCAACAATGAGTAACAGTATTTGCTTCCCGTAAATTCATTGCTGACATTCGATAAGCTTATCTAGTTGTGGTATCTTTAATACTAAAGACCTCGGAAGCTCTATCGGCATTGACCAAAGAAATATCTCATTGGGGTCTGGCCATTATCTGTTTCTCTCCGCCATCCGGCTTTTAGAGGTACATGGCGGTACATTCTAAAATGTTGTTGGGAAGTCCCGGATAGCTCTGGAAAAATTTCCAATGAATGGCAACGGGCTGCACTGTTTATCTAGTCAATGAGGTCTTTTGGCTTGCACATTAACTTGGATTGTTCGCATATTCTTAATATGACTTCGCCATATATTCAACTTTCCAAAACACTGTCATTATCCACACCAAGTATCCATAAAGCCTTTTTACTACCTCTAAGCTCACCTTGAAGAAATAAACAAAGTAAATTTTTGTATTGTATTAAATTCGAAACCATGCTCTTATCCTGCATCAGTAATGTTTCATTATTACATACAATCCGCCTCGAATCATACCTCTTCATATTTGGGGAATCCCCTGTTACAGTAGGAAAACAATAATTTCTTTGGAAACCACTATTTTTATTTTATTTGACATTTATAATTCTATAACAACAATGTTGTTATTGTAAAATCATCAGTTGTTGTAGCTCATACATATTCATATAACAAAATACTTGGGATTTGGTTATTTTAAATGGGGTAAAGCTAAGTTCCAGCTCTAGGAGTAAATTCATGACAAAGCCGAAAAATATCTACGCCCAGTTATAAGATTAATTGAATCTATGGCAAAATTCTTAAGACATTTTTATCATAAATTATAGAAATAATGATTTAATTAAAGCACTCCTGGCATTAAATGTTTAAAGATTTCCTTAACCTCGCAAACTATTGCCTACTTTTTGGCGCATAGTTAAATTGAATCTTTCTTCTTCTTTTTGGTTCCATTTAAAGCATCATTCTTATGTGCTTTCACATTCCATTTTTCTGTACATATTTACAAAGTCGACTTAGTTGTCCCTAACAATGTGTAAAAAAGTTCCGTTATTTGACGCTTCACATTGTACGCGGTCATTCATATTTGCATTTTGTTCGGTCAAGGAATTTTTCAGTAAAATTTTTCGCGTTCGATACATATTCCTTTTTAAATAGTGTTTTTAATAATATTCTTTAAGCACAATGTCTGAATTGCCGTGCTCAAAATGCCGCCAACCTGGGAAATTCTATTGTGAGCGTTGTCTGGAGCCCTATTGCAGTTCTGATTGTCAAGTTGGTGATTGGCAAGATCACAAATCGAGATGTTTTAAAATTCCGTAAGTATTTGGAATGGATTACAGTAAGTGTTGGGAAGGCCTAGTACAAGGGGAAACAAGTAGCAACAGATTCTATGATTGATTTTAAATAAAATATTACACACAATCTTCTTATGTTCCTGGTTTAAACGAGGAATTGAATTTGTGATGGTAGTGAAAGTACACAGCAAGTTTTTGTAGTCCAGCTTAAAACGGTGAAATTCATTTTTTGGTGATATCTACGAAAACCGCATGGAGCTCCACAAGAATAATATACATAATTTAAATGTACATAGTTCCCGGTGTTAATATCATCAATGAAATTTCAATCACATTTTAATAACGGTTAAAGTTAAGCCTTAGGAAGTTTCCAAAAAATCCTGCTCGATTTCCGTGCCTCATCGAAATAACGTTCTTAGACCCTAGGTCTCTTTGGACGAAATCCGTTTCAGGACATTTGCAGTCAATCTAGCGATGTTACTCCGTCCGTCTGTCTGTCTGGCTGACGGGTGCGCACGATAACTCTCGAAGGGCGTATCCGATTTTATCCAAACTTGGTACATCGCAATATTATTATCAAACTTAAGTCAGGTTCGGAGATGGGCAATATCGGTCCACTCCTTCTGGTACCTCCCACACAAAATGTCAACATTTTCAAAGAAAATAATTATTGCACAGAAAGAGAAAGCATAATCCGATTTAGCTCTAACTTTGGAAATCCTAATATTTGGACAAAATCGGTCAATTCCATCAAGTACCTCCCGCACAAAGGGTGAAAATTTTGAATAATTATAAATCTTATAAAGTGTGATATAAGCGTCCACTTGTCTTCAAATTACACACTTCACAATATTTTTATCAACTTCAAGGTCTGGCGTGAAGATGGTCCACTTCTTCTGGTACCTCCCCCACAAATGTTCAAAATTCTGAATAACCATTTAGCTCATAAAACGTGAAATTGACCTCCGATTCCATTCAGACTTGGCACATCTCAATATTTCTATCAACACAAAATCTGCTATAAAGATGGTAGAGATCGGACAATTCCTTCTGGTACCTCCCCCACAAATGTTCAAAGTTTTGGATAACCAAAACGATTATAAAATCCGAAAAGAGCTTCCGGTTTTCTTCAAATTTCACAAATCACAATATTTTTGTTAACCCAAGGACTAGTGTGAAATTGGGATATATCGTTCCCCTCCTTCTAGTACCTACACCACAAAAGGGTCAAATTTTTGGGTATCCATGAAGCTCATTAAACGCGAAATTATTTCCATTCAGACTTAGTACATCTCAATATTTCCATCAAGGCAAGATATGTTATAAAGATGGTAGATTCTTATTTGATTGTTTTTGATCTGATTCATTTTTTAAAGCTTGTACGTATTAAATTCTCTTAAGAATAATACCCACACTAACTTAGTGTGTTCAAATTATATATCGTTAATTTAATGTTATTTCTTTCTAGGAATTTAATACCCATGCACAATTTGAGTCTCAAAAGTGATACATCATTTCGACGCTCTCACGGCGGCTCAAAAGAGAATATAAACGATACAAAGCGTAGCAACAGCAACACCTTCGCTGGTACGAAGGCTCGAAATCCCATAGAATGCGGCGAATCTTGTACCGGAGCTAAACCCAAAAAACTTTTACAAGATGGAGATTTTACACTTGTCACAAAAGCTGCCGCTACGTCTACACCAACACCTACTGCCACTGTAGATGTTGCACCACCCAAGAACGTGAGCAATATTTTGAATTCTGTAATTACTGCAGATAAACCTGCCAATTGGCGCATGCATTTCCCACCACCCAATGGATATTTCGATGCCATCATTCAATTTGTCGAAGAAGCAGATCAGGCAAACAAACACTTCCTATGGGTAACCGATATTAAATATGATGGTCCATTGCGTAAACTACTGGCCGAAATAAATCGTAATATTAATCAAAAAGAACCCTGTAAGGCTGAGCTAATATACCCTGGAGCATTGGTGGCAGCGCCATTGGGGAAAATTCTCTACAGAGCAGAGGTTTTAGATTGCTCCGCCCAGGCACAAAAGGCTGATGTACGTCTAATCGATTATGGCAACGAATTGAGGATTCCATACAACCAACTCTTTGCACCCATACCCATTATGGCGAATTTAAATGCTTACGCTTTTCGAGTTTGCTTGCGCGGCGATTGTGGTCCCTTGAACATTGAATCTGTTGTGACCATTAAAATTGTGGGACAAAAACATTCTGAAGGTTATTACAATGTCGAGAGCAAAGAGAAGTCCATACCCATGGAATTACCTGTGGAATTGCTGACGAAAGAGAAATCGCTTACTGTTGTCAAATATTTTGTGGATGGCCGCCATGCATTGTTACGCTTGAATGGTAACGAAGACTTGAACTCCCTAGATGAGGTATTGAATTCGGAACAAACCATACAATATGAATTTGAAAAGGTGCCAAGTGAGGGGACATTTGTTGCAGCACGCACTAAGCATGGTTGGAAACGTGCCCGCCTACTGGCACATTGGGAAAAGGGCCACGAGTATTTGGTTTATGCCATTGATGAGGGTTTCATAACACGTTCGCCACAAATCAAACGCATACCCAGTGCATTCTTGTGTCATCCCATGCAAGTGTTTGCTGTTTCCACAAACTCTGTGGAATATATGCTATCGGAAACTATGTTGGCAACTGTCAAAAAATTATCCATACAATTGTTGCCTGCCACATCGGTAACAGCAGGAAAAGATTCAAAGACACATTTGTCATGTGCTCTCTTTGAGGATTCGCGCAAAATTGTGGATGTTGTAATAGCTTCGATCTTTACCGGCTGCATTAAGGAGCTGAATATAGACTTGTGGTATGATCTCCCCGGTCCTGGCTCATTTGTAACCGTAAGCCATGTCATAACATTTAAAGAAGTCTATATAGCAGCTCTTGAAACTAGAGATTATGATAAAATATTTGAAGCGGAACATGGGAAATGCATTCCTTTCAATGCTGGCGCCAGCGATGAATTGAAAAAAGATGCTATTGTTTTTGTATGCGATCCACATGGACATAAATATCGCGGACAGGTGAGTTTAGTTCTTAGATTAAGATTTTTGCCAAAACGAGTCCAAACGGATTCCATCACACACCTTAAAACCATATTCCTCTTTCATGGTTCAGACTCTCAATTTATCTCAATTCAACAATAATTTTGAACATATTGATAATATTTTTATGCCAATAATAATCTCCAATTGCTTTCCATCTTCCAGATAATCGAATGCGAAGCAAACTCTTACCGAATTAAAAACATTGACAAAGGTGCAGAATTCAGCGTAGATCGAAAATATATCTTCAAACCCACGAATCTAATCAGATATCTTCCCGTGCGATGTTCCCTAATTAAACTCATGTATTTATCAACCGTTCCCACACCAATTGCCTATAACAAAGCCTTGACTTCATTGGAGAAATGTATGGAAAATGCAGCGGAATTCGAAGTCTTTGCAGATAAAGAAAACACTGGAGTGGACTTGCTATTCCGGACCAAGGAAAGGCAATCGCTTTGTAAAAAATTATTACCACTTGTGTTTGATGCAGCAGATATACCAGCAACGGTACCACTTTATGATGATACGACCCAACAACAACAGCCACCGCCGGAAGTTCCAAAAAGAGTAGTTGTAAATGAAAGGGCACCCGTTGCAATGACCCTAACACCGCCCAACACTCCCATCGCTGTAGAGCCCCCAAAAGCAGCCGCAGCTGCTGTAATTTCGCCCAAGATTCTAACACTTGATGATTTGGAAATTATTCCCATCCAATGTGGGGAGAATGCTGAACTCTACACCTTAGATGCCACATCAATTGTGAATTTAGATGGTCCCTATATAACTGCGGCTGATTTTAGTAACAAGGCGTATTTAAGAAAATTGGAAATCAGTCTAGCCTCTGTTGCTGAATATTGCAATAGTCCAAAGGCTCCAAAGGGGGGTTATGCTCCAAAGTAAGTGTGACATTATTATATTAATTTCTTTTATTAAAGTTGTATTTTTACATTTAGAAAAATGGAATTGTGCCTGTCCGTATTTGCCGACGATGGCCAATGGTATCGTGCCATGTGCATTGACTCGCAAAATGACAACTTTTTGGTGTTATTCCTCGACTATGGCAATCTATCAAAAGTCAGCAAAAAAGATATCATGCCTATGATACCTGATCTCATGTTTCCCTCAAATGCCAATATGGTTTATATTGAAGGTAAGGAAAGGAAAAAGCCAATAACAGTATAATATTGGATGAATGGGTTCTAAATATGTTGTTCTTTTAGGTATAAAGACCAAGGAGCAGGCTTTGAAGTTTGCAAAATCATTGCAAACAAATCCCATTGTTAAAGCCAATGTAACACAAATACCAGAAAGCGATGCGTACCTTGCCAAGGTACATGGTCTGGATACAATTATCGCTTAAGCCCTGGAGGCACTATATATGCATATATATTTTTTATTGAATTTCCCTAATTTTTAAGTTTTATTCAATCTATTATTTTTAATTTTATCTGACCATTTTGTATGCAATTTCGGAGTGAATTGAAATTCATTTTTTTTAAATAAAACGTCGTTTAATTTTATCAAATTTGTTCTTTTCTTGGGGGCTGGAAATATTTAAAGAGCTACATGGTTCCCTTTATTCCGCCAACATGTTTGTAGAAAAGATTTTCTACACTAAAAACGTCAATAAGATTCAATCCCTCAACACTGGCAGATCGCAGATGTGTGTATGTCCAATTGATAAGCAATAAAATTATAACGATTCATATTTTACGCTCATCTTTATATATTTGAGTATATCATTCGTCTTCGCAATTTTATTGAAGGTAAATTTAAAATCAAAACTTTGGCAATGTATAAACAATCATAAAAGGACACACTTGGAAAAATTCCGAGCATTTAAATGGCATGCTATAAAAAGAAATGTTTTGTTACTTAATGAGATTATTTTCAAATACAAATTGAAATACGATACCAAAAAATCAATAATTATGAGTAAAATTAAAAATAATAGGATGTGGCGAGTAATTGGCTGCCCCGGTGAGTCATCTTAGATTAGTTTTGCTTTGTGTAATTTTTTTAGCAATTCCTTGCTTTCAATAAATGTTATGTCATCAAATATTTTTATATTGTCAACATGAATTTTCTTAAAATCGCACAATTCTTTCTCCAGGAATTCTATTAGATCGTCACTTAACTCTTGGGGAAGACCTACAAAAACAGCGGCATTTAATATAATTACAATAAACAAAAAAAAAATTAAAATACCCACCATCTATTGCACACAGATTTGTGCAACAAGGTATTGTCAAAGACATGGGATACCGACGTATCGATGCACTTGTTAGCTCACATTCATTGGTGAAATCTATATAGGCTATGAGAAATTTATCTTCATCCAAAACTTCAACCACTTTACCTCGATACCATTCGGATTCAAATTCAGCGATGCAATATTCTTCAAGTCTAAAAATAAAATGCATGTGGTTAATAATTTCGTCCTTTGGTGTTAACATTACGACTTACTTTGGTTTGTAGGCCTGCCCGGATCCATCATAATTTTGTAGAAACTTTTGAATAGACTGCAGTTTGTCACAGTCCTTTTCTAAAATGCAACCCACATATCCACGACTAACGTAGGAGTTGTCAACAACAACAATTTTAACATTTTTGGCATTTGCATCAAATGGTATAGTTTCGAATGGCTGAAATTAAAAAAAAAAGTAAAGCTTATTTATATCTGTTTAAAAAATTATGCCGATTATTGTCCTAAACGAAAGGACATTGAATCTCAAACCATTTTTACGGACATATTTTTTATCATATCTTTATAAAGACTCTAACTCTTTCATACTTACCGGTATCATGCAGGGTTTAGGTAATTGTCTTGGTGGAGGTGGAAGATTCTTCTTTTTACCACTGCTGCCGGGAGATTTATTATCAACATCATTCTTAACCGGTGTATTACACATAATTTGTGATTTTTTGGGAGGAGTTGCTTCTATTGAGGAATTAGTTTCCTTTGCACTTCCAGACGCAACATTATTATTGCTTACAACCGATGAGCTTTCCGCGCCCTTATCTGGTGAGCTTTCCTTGTCATTGTTATTTGAAGAAACATTCTCTGATTCCTTTCCACTGAACTCTTGACATGCTGTCAAAATTTCGGTATTAAGTAGCTTTTCTGTGTCCGCATAATACAGCTCGATATTGCCACCCATGGAATCGGATTCGACCCGACGCATCCTAAACTCTTTGTCAACATTTTGTGATATATGTTCCAGAAATTTCGTTTCCATTGAGTACACTGTAACATTGTGCAGTTGCACCATGTGAACAAAACATGGCAAGCTGGACATTGTATTAGATATTCTACGTAATTCTCGTAGATAACGTATTCCAATAGTGCCATAATCAATAAAATGAATGCGTATGCGATTGTCTGGACGTGCCGAAAGAATTTGTACGCGACACCATTGTTCATCTTTTTGGGCCATCGCAAAGGTGTTGGCTTTCGGTACACTGTTAACTTCGTGCGAATTTTTTCCAAAGTTATCAATTTTTTTGAGGTTCTTTTGATATTCTTCTGTAATGGCTGAATCGGCGGAACGTATATAGCAACGATTTGCCGATTTGAAACCAGTCAGTATAACAATGCTACCATCTGCTGGCAATTGTGTGGGTGAGGGTATAAAACTTAGCTGTCTTGCTTTAAAAGCTTGCCTACTCTCTTCTTTGTGCATTTCAACCGATTTTGTCTCGGCTTTAAGCAGGGGTATGGGTTCTTTTATCACACATGGTTGACCGGCTTTGATCAGTCGTCTAAAATTATGAAAAAAAAATTAAAAATTGTAATCACTTGCAAATTTCAATTACTTACGGCATGGGAAAACATATGAACCGGTGATTTGGCCAATCCCTCCGCTGGCATTGTGGTGAGCAATAGAAATCACCGCAACGTTCACATTTGCATATCGACGTTTTACCACACAATGCACATAAACCGGTCTCATTGATAATTAAACCATTGCTACTACTGTTTCCTGAGTTTCGTATGCCATTTCCAACGCCACCGTTTTCTACCTCTTCCCTTTCAGAATCTTCACTGATGAATTCACTGTTTTCATCACTTGCACCATTGGCATGAGATGCTAAGGAAAGTCTTTAGTACAATATATTTTATAAATTACAGTTATTAATTATCAGTTGATTACATTAGAAATCTTCGTATTTAGTTAATAAAACAACTTACCTTTCCAAGCGTTTATCCATTTTTGTTGATTTTGCAAAAATGTTGGCTAGGCACGCCTAGGGATCTAAAAATCGAAATACATTTCTTTAGATGTGAAGTGTTTTGGTAGGGTTGCCATTACAGTTGGTTGTGTTTACATTCAGGGAAAGTAAAATGCTATTGGTAGTGGAATTCCCCAACTATTTTGCCGTTACCCTCATATATGGGAAAATTTCAAAATATGAATGTAAAGAAAGTTTTTAGCCTTGTCTCCAATTGGTCCAATAATGTTATTTACTCTGCTCTAGAACTTTGCAAGAATTTACTATTTTTCAATTTATATTCGATAACATAAAGGGAAAATCGATTGTCCTAGTAAAAATATTTACATTTTTGGAGCTCTGGAACAGATAATTTAATTTTCACCTGACTGAAAGTTTTGAGTTTTCTTTTTACGGATTTTGGTCTATACCTGCAATGAAGTTAAAAAATCACAACACCTGCCTCAAAAAATGGAAATGATAACATTTTCGTTCTGTTATAGAACATTTCCGTTTTGTTATAGAAGGTGTTCTAGCTGTAGATGATCAACTCCTGTTGAAGGTCACTTGACCGTCTTCTATTAAAGAAAAGGACCAATCCAGGAATAAGACATACCGTAAAACGCAACAATTTTATTAGGAGTAAGAAAATTTCATATTAAGGGGAAACATTTTATACGAATCTTTTCCAATCAATACTTTAATTAGAATAAGATTTTGTCTTCCTATTGGAATCGGATTCAAAAACAATAAAAAAAAAAAAAAAACAATTTCCCAGGTCATCTATCCACACCTCGTTTATTTTTCTTTTTGTATTTAAACAGCTTGAATTCGAATAAAGCTCGTCTCGAAAGAATTATTTTTACTACCGCTGTTTTGAAAGATGTTCAACAAATTCATTCCAACGTCAATTATTGTTGATAGTCTTGATATGGTAGACAATGTTAATCTATAGTTTTATATTTGTTGTCAGTGCCCTACAGACATCAACCGAATCCATACCAATTGTGGGTGGTAAACCAGTTACAAGGAGTGGTAATTGGGGTAAATATTATTTTATTGAGTAGATATGCGATTTTGTAGTGAAAATATATGCATGCTTTATCATTTCAGGTATTCCGAAATATCCCTATATGGTTTCACTGCAGGAAGAGTTCATTATCCCGGAAAGAGAGTCGTATTTTAAGCATTTTTGTGGCGGTACACTGCTAAATGAAAAATGGATACTAACGGCTGGACACTGTTTGTGGCGCAAGTATGTTTTATGGTTTGGATTTTGAATATCGGATGAGAGGGCATACCCATCGCATTCCAAAATTAAAAATTTAATTTCGTTACTGTCCAAAGTTAACTGCACTATAATATTTAATTACTTGTTATCTCTTTTTAGAAACGTGAACACAATATTTGCAATTATTGGTCATGAGAACTTGACAAATATCAATCCGTTGGAAAGACTTGCAGTGGATAAAATAGAATTTATTTCGTTCCAACCGTAAGTAAAAAATGACATTCCTAATTTTAATTAAGGGAAGCCGAAAAACGATTCAGATTCAGAAAATTTGAATTTATTTGATTTAATTATTGAAAGCACTTAATCCAAATAGTTGTGTATTGGGATCGCAAATTTGGTATATACTTACTTTCATACACATTTTTTGTTTTCAGAGGAAGTTTACAAAATGATATAGCACTGCTGCGTTTAAAGCACCCATACAGGTCGTCCCTACCGCCACAATTCAATTTTTATGGAAAACTACCCCACTATGGCATGAAGGCATATAGAAAAGGTAAAACTTAAATTAAATATTTAAAATTGTCTTTAAACACTTAACTGATTTCCTTGCAGATCCCTGTAAAATAATTGGTTTCGGGGCCAAACATCATGCTGGACTTTCGCAGGATTATCTGGAAGAAGCTGAAGTCTATGTAATTAGCAATAAGAAATGTCGTCACTTATTGGGTTATGTTTGGGCTCCACAAAAGGGTGCCAATACAGTTTGTGCCCTGGGTTATGGTCAGGACACGTGTCAGGTAAACCCTCAATATTTTTAAAAAATTCCATAAAATTTGAGTTGTTCTTTTCATACAGGGCGATTCTGGTGGACCATTGATATGTAAATATGATGGCATTGATTATATTTATGGCATTGTATCACATGGTTTGACCTGTGGCCTCATTGGCATACCAAGTGTGTACACTGTTACGGGTCCCTATATCGAATGGATACGATTGGCAATTGGTGATTAAGAATTACGTGTTTCCACATTTATTATTCGATTTAGTTTCTAACATTTTTGTCTAAAATATTTTACGAAAATATTGGAGTTTTTTTTAAACAAATCGTTTAACTTAACATACTACACTAGATAATACACAAACATACAATTAATTATGCTAATTATAAATACAATAGTTACTGAAAATATTCAGTAAAACAAAATGCATACAACGGAAAAAGACAAAAAATAACTTATATAACACTAATATGGTTCTTATCCAGCGTTTATCATTAATTTTTTGTTTTATTTACTTCATCACATTCAGCATCTGTATTCGATTCAGATGGCACCTCCTCGACACGATCAACAAGTTTACCAGTACCAGTTTCTGGTAATGTCAGAGTTAGCAGGCCAGCTACTAGAACGCAGCAACCACATATTGTTGTGGGTATATACCAACCCAGGGGACCCTAAAAAATAGTTTATACAGAATTTAGAAGGGATGTTTTCGAAGGTGTTTTTATTTTCAAAAGTCTTACCAATAAATCAACAGCATAGGGTGCCGAAATGGAACCGACATGAGCCCATGTTGAACATGTACCCAAAGCTGAGCCACGAATTTCTGTTGGATATAACTCAGCCGTGTATAACGTAACTACCGAGTATGTGGCACTTATTCCAAAACGACCCAACATAGCAAAGGCCACAATCCATACGGTGCTTTCTAAAAAAGATAAAAAAGATTTGGTATTTATAAAAAAAATTGAAATATGAATATCTAACAATTTTACAATTTTCTACTTGACAGATTTGAAGATTTTTCAACATTTTGGTATGAGAAAGAATCTACTTGGAATCTACTATTTTTGCGATTTTCTTCGATATCATAAAAGGAATATCGGTTATCATTATATTCTGGAACGGATCATTTATAAAATTATTATTTTTTTGTTTTGCATTTACACAAATATCATATACTTCGGCACAATGTCTCTACTCACTATAGGTTTGATATAAAAGCAACGTTTTTTGTTGAAATTCTGAGGCTTATTATACCCTCAGCCATATGGCTAAAGAGGATATATATCATTTGATACGACTAAAACGTGCCTCATCGAAAAGTCCAGATCCGTTTCAGGATTCGATCAAGCGATGTCCGTCCGTCTGTCTGTCTGGGAGTATCCGATATGATCCAAACTTGGTACATCGTAATATTATTGTCAAACTTAGATCAACTTCGGAGATGGGCAATATCGGTTTACTCCTTCTTGTACCATCCCCACAAAATGTCAATATTTTCAAAGAAAATAATTTTCTGCACAGAAAGAGAAGGGATAATCCGATATTGTTCCAACTTTGCAAATCCTAATATTTGCATCAGCACTAGGTCAGGTGCAATGTAGGTCAACTCCATCAAGTACCTCCCCCATAAAGGGTCAAAATTTGGAATAATTATTACTCTTATAAAATGTGATGTAAATGTCCGATTGTCTTCACAATATTTTTACTAATCCAAGGTCTGGTGTGAAGATAGAATATATCGGTCCACTCCTTTTGGTACCTCTTCCACAAAAGGGTCACAATTTTGAATACTCATGAAGCTCATAAAAGGCTAAAATAACATCCAATTCCATGCAGACTTGGCACATCTCTATAGTTATATCAACACAAGATCTGTTATGAAGATGGTATAGATCGAACCATTCCTTCTGGTACCTCCCCCACAAAGGTCAAAAATTTGAATAACAAAAAAGATCATAAAATGCGAAATAAGATTCCGGCTATATATAATATAACCAGAAATCTGATATAAATATGTGCTTTATCGAAATTTATAATTTCGCATAAAATTGGATATAAGTTTTCGATTTCCTGCAAATTTTGCACATACCAATATTTTTATCTGTACTAGATGAAGTATGAAAATGGAATACTTCGGTCAGCTATATCTGTTACATCACGCATATTTAAAAATTTTCTGTTGTTGTAATATTTATATCAGTCTTAGGTCAGGTATGAATTGGTCAATATTAACCAACTGCTCCGGAATCTCCCCCATATAGGGTAAACATTTTGAAAAATCATAACTCAAGGCTAGGGTATAAATCTGTCGGCAAAACCGACTGATAGTATTTTACTTTTTTTTAAAGAAACTTTTCAAAATATTCCTATCATGGTAGAACAATATAGGTAGATGTATCAATACCTGGAAACATTGATATGTCAACAAATTTTTAATATTTCTTTAGAAATAGGTAGATTTGTATATGTTTTCCAATACTACGCCAATCGGAGGTTATTATGAAATGCATTTTTCAACAATTTTTACAAATTTAAATAATTTTTCATTCAAGATTTTCAATTCCAAAATTGGAATTCTTCTACCGTGATTCCTATCCATTTCTGCTTTCATGCATGGTTCATAACAAATATGACAAATGTGGTCTGGCAACACCATTACTAGATGCTCATTACACATACGCCTCAGAGTATGCTTTGAATTTATTTGTTTGTCTTTGTTCTATCCCGGTAAGGGAAAATTGTCACATTCAGACGCAATGATATCAGGCTAAGTGCTGATGTCGTATTGTGGCTCTACTTTACTCCCATTTCGGGTAGGGTTTCCTTATGTATTTTCAAATATTATATTTTAATTAACAACCATTTCAACTTACCCTGTGGAACAACCATCACCATGATCAAAGCAATGCCGGTTAAAAAGAACAAAGACATTGTCGTAATCCTACGACCGCTGTAACGTAACATAATCACAGGCAAAAGCAAAGATGGCAAATCAACGAGACCGGTGATGGCAACATATAAATGACGACTAACATCCATGTTGGCGGCATTCAAAGCTATAAAGGATACATATATGAAAAATGTAAAATATTTTTAAGTAATCAGTAAATAATTCATCCTTACCCGTAACGTAGTAGGACAACGAGGTAACACAGAACATGAAATACGAAGTGAATATCAATTTGCGAACCTTAGAGGTGGCAAAAAGTTCAATGATGTGTTTCAAAGGACCCTCCCGCAATTGTTGCCATTTGGAAATAGTTGGTTCTTCCTGAATAATGAATATAGGAATAATTATTTTTAATAAATAATAAAGAAGTTAGAGTAAGTAATTTTAAACAATTTATATAACACTTAGATAAAAGTTCTAGTCAATAGACAAATCAATACCCGTCGACAGAGGTTGAGACATAAAAAGGACTTATAAAGTAGCATAGCTTTGATTCTAGAAGAAATTTGAACCGCAATTTTAATTACCAGAATACAATTTTATTTTTCCCAAATCAAATCCGGTTATTGTTTTATAATTTAAATCAGAATATATAATACGTATTGGCGTATTTGCCATTAAAATATCACCCATTGTGATCATTTTTCTTTTCATTTTTTTAATTGTATTGTTTTAAACTCAAATTAATTACCGTTTTTTTTTTTTGTTTTGATGCGCAATTATAATCTCGAAGATTTTATAAATATTATAATTGCCCTATATTGCTAGCTTACTTTTCATTATCAAATCTATTAAAATCCAAAAAATTGAATTTCGGTCGGGCATTTAGCCTAGATTGACATTTTTGAACCCAGTTAACCCATGAAGTCATAATCTAGATTAAACAAGTCTTTTAAAGTGTTTGATACATAAACGTCATGAATTAAACAAAATTTCAAATCATTGCAGAAATGATTTTCAAAAATTATTATCAAAATAAAAAAAAAAAAAAAAAAAAAAACAAGTAAAACTGTATTAGTCGGTCTTGCCGACAGATTTATACCCCCAGCCTTGAGTGATGATTATTCACACTGTTGACCCTTTATGGGGGAGGTTCCGAAGCAGTTGGCTAATAATAAACAATTCGTACATGAACTAAAACTTATATAAATATTACAACGTGTCAGATTTGGTCGACTATTTCCTATACATTATATGTGCCAGTTTTGGAAAATGTGGAATCATGCATGAGACAACATATATAGCGGACTAAATTATTCCATTGTCATACTTCATATAATACAGATAAAAACATTGGTATATGCAATATTTTAAGGAAATCGAACATCGAACATCGAATCGAAAATCACAAATTTCGATAAATTACAGATTCATTTCAGATTTCAGAGAAATGTTTCGATATAGAAAGTTTTAAACAATCGCCGACTTGTTTCGCAAGTTATGACCGATAAAAGTATTGAACATTGTGACCCTTTGTGGTTGCTTTGTATCAGAAGTGGTTCACAGATATATTCATTCACAGCAGATCTTGCGTTAGTAAAAATATTTGGATGTGTGAAATTTGAAGAGAGTTTGATGCTTAATACACTTTCTTTGGGCGTTTTGTTTTTCAAAAACCTAGAACCCTATGTGGGGAAGGTACCAGAAGAATTGGTCCAATCTCTACCATCTGTATAACAGATCTTCTGTTGTTGTAAATATTACTACCATATTTATCACAGATCTTGTGTTGTTGTAAATATTGAGATGTACCAAGTCTGAATGGAATCGGTTGTAAGTTTCGCGTTTTATAAGCTTCATGGATGTTCAAAATTTTGACCGCTTGTGAGGGAAGTACCAGAAGGAGTGGACCGATATATCTCATCTTCACAGCAGATTTTTTGTTAGTAGAAATAATGTGATGTGTGACATATTAAAGGAACCGGAGGCTTATTTCGGATTTTACAATCGTTTTGGTTATGCAAAATTTTGACCCTTTGTGGGGTAGGTATGAAAAGGAGTGTACCTATATATCCCATCTTCACAGCAGATCTTGTGTTAGTAGAAATAATGGGACGTGTGCAATATTAAGGAACCGGAGGCTTATTTCGGATTTTACAATCGTTTTGGTTATTCAAAATTTTGACCCTTTATGGGGGAGGTACCAGTGGGAGTAGACCAATACATCCCATGTTCACACCAGGCTTTGGGTTAATAAAAACATTGTGTTGTGTGGAATTTGAAGAGATCCGAATGCTTATTTCGGATTTTATAATCGTTTTTGTTATTCAAAACTTTGACTCTTTGTGGGGGAGATACCAGAAGAACTGGTCCGATCCGATATATCCCATCTTCATAAGAGATCTTTTGTTAGTAGAAAGAATGGAATGAGTGAAATATAAAGAGAACCTAAAGTTTACTTCGGATTCCATAATATTTTTGATTATTCAAAACTTTGAACCTTTGTGGAGGATGTACCTCAAGGAATGGTCCGATCTCTTCCGTTTTTATAAAATTTGATGAAAATTTTCAGA